CGGGCGGCCTGCCGGGCCCGGCCTTCGAGGGCTGCGAGGCTGTCGAGCCCGCCGGCCCCGCCGAGCGCAGCGGCCACGTCGCTGTCAGCGACGGGCGCCACATGTTCGTCTGGGGCGGCTACAAGGTCAGTGCGGCGCGGCGGCGCGCGCCCGTGCCCGTTGCCCTCCTGGGGCGCGGGATCCCCTCCGTCCCGCCCGTCCTGCTCCCGAGGGCGCGAGGATCGCGCCGGCCGCGGGCGACACCGGGCGACACGGCCCTCTGCAGCCGCGGAGGCCGAGGCGCGAGCGCCGGCGCGTCCACCCTGCCCGCCGCCCCGCTGCAGCTCCGGCCCAGCGCCGGAGACTTTCAAGCCCGAGACTCCAGCGCTCGGGAGGCTGGGGCAGGAGGATCGCCGCGAGTTGGGGGCCAGGTAGACGCTGTCATGGGAAAAAGAAAGCCCTGGCCCTTGGCGGCGTACGGCGCCCGACCGCGGCTCCCGCGCCCGGTCCTGAGCGGCGCCTCCAGATGCTGCTGGCGACCGCTCGCTGCGCGGCGCTCCTGGGCGGATCCCACTCAGGTGTCTCCCGTTAGAGCCGCCTGCCGGTCCTGGCTTGGAGCCTCCAGCGCGCGCTCGCCGGTCTAGAACTGTCTCGGTGCCCTGCAGGGGGAGGCTGTGGTCCATCCCTACCGCAGCATTCTTCTGTTCCCACTTGGCTTAAAGGTGTTCCCCTCCCGTGGCAGAAAATCCAGTGCCACCAGCCCAGGCGTGGATGCTTGGCTGTGACTCGGGGACAGTTAGCGCGGAGCACGGCCGCCGGGCGCTGAGTCTTTCGGGGACCCCAGGGAAGGTCGTGCACCCCGCGCAGCTCCCCGCACACTTGTTGCCCGCTGCCCAGGGCCGTGTTGGTGAGGTGGGCGCCGAGCGCCCTGGGGCAGGTCCCAGCGACGCGCTCCGCTTTGGTTCCGAGGGCTCCGACCCCCCACCCCGCGCCCGGCTGCTCGGCCCAGGGCGCTCGCAGGGCGCTGCCGCGGGCAGAACCGGTTCCGAGGAGTCGGGCTGCAAAGGACAGGGAGCTGTCCAAGTTCAAGAAGCCGTTCTGACCCGCTGTGCCCCCGTGCATGACCTGCTAGGTAACCTTGGGCAAATGAGTCCCGCCTCAGAACTTGCTTTCCTATCATAGCGGTTCCTTCGCTGCTTGTCGTGAGGTTAGGGTGGAGGATGCACGACAGCATTAAGGGCTGGCGCTGTGACTCTGCCGGTGGAGTCAACGCCTGAAGGGAAATGGAGAATGAGGAACTCGCGTCCTGGAGCCCTAGCATTTGCGTGTCTGACTTTTGCCCTCAGCTTGGCAGAAAATGGGAGGCCCAAGGAGAGAGTGGCCACAAAGCCCTAGCGGTCAGCGCAGGCCAGGCACCGCTGATCCGCGGGCGCGGGCTCCCCGGGGTGCACTGTAGAGACCCTAACATCTCCCAGAGCCGCGGGCCTAGGTTGTGCACTGCAGCAGCCGCAGCGGCAAGGACTTGAATTCAGTTCAAGTTCTTGAACTGAGCTCTGTCTTTAGTCTGTGGATGTTATGTGAGAACCGAATTTTCCATGACTAATTTATTTTTGGCTTTTTAAGAGAGGGTCTGGCTCTGCAGTTCTGAGTGGCCTTGAGCTCACTTTGTAGCCCAGGTGGGCCTCACATTCTGGATCTTCCTGCCTCAGCCTCCTGAGTGCTGGGACTACAGGCATGTGCACCATGCCCAGCTCCATAATAGTATCTGGAGATATGGAAAATACAATGAAGCCTCTTTAAAATATCATTTACCTATATCTGCATTTTCTGATTCTTCCTAGAGTAATCAAGTCAGAGGATTATATGATTTTTATCTGCCTAGAGAAGAACTATGGATCTACAACATGGAGACTGGAAGATGGTAACTGGGTCTTATGGGACTAAGATTGCATAAACTGATGAATAAAAATAAAGATACTATCTGTATATAGTGTTTTAGTTTAGCTTAGCTGTTTTTGTAGTATCTCTTCAGCATGAGTTTAGTAATTGCTAAATAGTATTTTTATGATCTTAGGAGAAATTTCCATTCAGAGATCATAGATAGAGACTTCAATCCTGGGATGGAAAGACTGTTTCCACAGGCTTTTTAAAGCTATCCTAAGGCTCCTCTTACACAGTGCCTTGACTAAGAGCAGGGCTTTAGTATTAGAAGTGTCAGCATTTGGCCGGGTGTGGTGGCCTCCACCTGTAATCTAAACTCAGGCCGAGGCAGACAGCTGCGAGTGGGCAGCTGAGCTGGGCTCTGGGTCTGCTGCCTGCCCCCTGCTGGGACAGTTACCCAACAGGCACAGCTTACCAGAGATTTGTGTTGGCTGTGTTTCTCAGTCCCAGCTGGGCTGGTTTTGAGGCACAGCCTGCAGTTCCAGCCCTGGCAGCCAGAAAGCAGCAAAGGGCGGAGCTGGGGTGGAAGTCCTCCCGGGATGAACCTTCCCAACCGGACTGTACCTCCAAGCATGAGATTTTGGGGGTCATTTTAGGTCAAAGTATCTCAAAACCAGGCTGAAGATGTAGCTTAGCTTTCCCTCAGTTCGCACCCTAATAATGAGAAAAATGTGTTAGATTTTTATCTGCTGGCAGCGTAGCTCAGTGGCAGAAAGATTGGCTAGCATATGATGCCCTGGGTTAGATCTCTAGGTATATGTATAGATGGATAGATGGATGGACAGACAGACAGACAGACAGACAGACAGACAGACAGACAGATAGATAATTTTGTGCACTTAAAAAACCAGCCAGGGAGATAGCTCAGCGGCTTAGGCACCTGCAGGTCCCTACTTCAATCCCCCTCCCAGTGCCAAAAAGGTGGGGGCAGGCAGACCAGCCTGGGCCACAGTGTGAGCTCAAGGCCAGCCTGAACTGCATAGCAAGACCCTGTCTTAAAAGGACAAAACAAGCAAATAAACCAGACATGGTGGTACATGCCTTTAAGCCCAAAACTCCAGTGAGGCAGGAGGCTCAGACATTGGAGGCAGCCTGAACTATACGAGACAATGTCAGTAGTCTGGAAGGGTATTTGCAGTCTCAACGATCCTCAAGAATGTTGATAGTAAAACAATTTTTTAAAAATCCTAGCTTAGTCATGCATGACCAGTCTTCAGATTTACAGTTTGTCCTGTGGTTTTTATGAACTATACCTGTCTTAACTAGAATAGTTGTCCCAGTTGATTTAAGAGTTAAACTAAAACGAAAGACTACTTCTCTACATAGCAAATTAGTGTTAATATGAACAGTTTCTTTCTAGAAAATTGAAAATGTATACTGGTACAGTGTTCCATGAGAAATTCTATAATTTCTAAAATGAAAATTTTAAGCCTAAGCCTAGCCAACTTCATGTTTAGCAAATATAAAGTGGAACCTGCAGCGTAACCACCTGCCTAGCACTGTATCCCATAGTGTGAGAAGACCGTGAGTGGACCGCGGATATCTGATCCAGATTGCTGTTTGTACTCTTGGGTTTTGAAGTTGGCCTATGTACGGAGCTGCAGCTCTAGCTCTTGATTCTCAGAATGTCTTGTTCCGTCATGACATCACCTGGCTGGGTTAGAATTTGCAGCCCTCTCCCCTGAGCCTCCCCAGGACTAGGATTACCTGAGTCACCACACCTGGCTCAGACCCATTTTTAGATCGAGTGAGTTCATGCAAAACATGGAGGAGGGCCAGGCGGAGGGCAGGAAGTTCTGGGTGTTTGCAGTATTACATAAGACTCTGAGTCAGAGTCATTTGAATAGCTAAATGGTGACTGAATTTAAAAAATAAACCTGTTGAGAAACTGTCAGGACTGGGAATGGTAAACTTTTGCTTTTGGGTTGTCGGCCCCTGAAAAAGACAACAGTTATGGCCACGCAAAAAAAGCCAGGAGCTCCGTTAAAGCAAGCTGCACTGCTCCGCCGCGTGGCCGCGGGGCCTCGCACTGCCTGGGTGCAGCTGGTGGCATCCGGACCAATGAGGACGCCCCGCTCCCGAGTGGCCTTCAGAGCTGGGAGACGTCGCCAGCCTCACTGTCAGCAGAAGGCTGCATGCACTGCTTACCTTTCGGGACTCTCACCGACGTTCCATTTTGTCCCCGCAGGAAGAAAGTGAGCACCGAGGGGGACGTCCCGCCGTCCATGTCGGGCAGCTGCGCCGTGTGTGTGGAGGGCGTGCTGTACTTGTTCGGAGGACATCATTCTCGAGGCAACACCAACAAGGTTGGTCTTTCTAGAGTGCGCTGCAGCCCGGGAGCTCAGGGGCAGAAGCCCTGCCTGGCAAGCGCGAGGTCCCGTTCGGTTTCCAGGACCAAACAGGACAGCGTGTGCTTCAAGGCAGCTTCACTCTCACCCTTTCAAACCACCTCAGAAAGTTAGGTAGGAGTTGTTCTTCTAGTTTAAAAAAAAAAATACGTGTACTTTATTATGGCGTGAATGTGCACTGAAGTGTTTTCTCCCCCGCCTTTGGCACTGCCAGCCTGTGCAGTAGCTCCCTAGAGCCCCGGATGTTGAGTGAGCTCAGTGAACACATCGAGAACGTTGTGGACAAGACAAAGGCCAGAGGGGGGCGAGCAGGGAAGGGGAAAAGTGGACAGAACACCGCTCAGAAAACCGGAAGGCTAAATTAACACCAGAAAGGTCACAGTGATAGCCCTGTTGCGTAACAGTTTTAGAGACGGTTCAGATTTTTTCCTTAAGTTTTTCAAACAGGAGAAAAGGCTATCAGTCCTCTTACTGGGTGACTTGAATTCACCCAATGAAGAGATGAAGTTTTAGAAAAGTACCTACGGGGAGGTAGGGAGGGTGACTGTCCCTCCTGTCAGCTCATTAACCTGATGCTTAGTAGACACCTACATCAGGGCTCAGGTGGATGCTGGGGCAGGACCAGGGCGGTCCCCACCCCTAGGCGCTGGGACCTGGGAGGGACAGGTCCAAATGAACGGTTGCGGGGCACCGAGCAGACCTGGAGCCTGGCGCATTACTGACGCTGTCCTTGCTCTGAGCTTGGCAGGGTGAGGGGTGCAGCAAGAACATGCTTGCCCACGTGGTGACGCGTGAATTAGCTGATAAGGGAGAAGGGAAGACCTGGGGCAGAGGCAGCAACAGGTCTGTCTGGTTCAAGGAAATGCCAGGTGGTGGTCGGTATATTTAGAAGACTTGGGCTGCAGATGAGCCATATAATTTTCAGAGCAAGCGGGGAGAAGAATAACTTTGACACAAACTGAAGAAGATTGGGAAGAACTGGTTTTGAGGACTGTCACAGAGACGCTAGTGTGTCAGGGTGAGAGGGGCGTGTGTAAGGCTGACAGGCAGCTCTTCCGAGAAACATCCATGTTCTGGACGTGAAGCACTTGAAGGACATTAAGGAGATTCGCCTTTAGCTCTGAGCCTGAGGATAAAGCTGTCCACTTGACTTTTTTGCTAATACTGTCCTGATACGCAAAAATTTTAAGTGTCAGTCTAGGGCAAGATCAGGAGCTTGTGCTAGAGTGTGAAAGAACACACCTCAGATTCATTCATCATGAAAGTGTGGCTATAAAAAAATTACCTGGACCATCAGTGTTGTCCCTGCAATTGGTTCTTTATATTTTGTCACAAATTCCTAATCTTGACCCATATGAGGGTGGCAGCCAGTTTCACTCACACTTTGAACAGCACCTTGTTATAAGCAGTCAGTAAAACTGTATGCGCATGAGTTTTTCTCATATAAGCAAACCTAATGGAAACCATTGCTCTGGACAGTTCTACATGCTGGACTCAAGGTGTACGGACAGAGTGTTACAGTGGGAAAGAGTTGACTGCCAAGGGATTCCTCCGTCATCAAAGGACAAACTGGGCGTCTGGGTGTATAAAAACAAGTGAGTTGGAAACACAAGTACTTTTGTACACTCAACCATTTATTCTCCATACATATCACATATCAAAAAAGAGAAAAAAGAGCTGGCCAGACTAAAGACACAGGGACCGGGGTTCAATACCCGCCATGCTGTGTCTTGCCAGTCCTGCCCCTGGGGTGCGCTGAAATGGCAAATAAGATTGGGCATGAGGGCACACATCTGTAATCCCAGCACTTGGGAGGCTGAAAGCAGGAGGATCACTATGAGTCCTACCTGTGTAGTGAGACCCTGTATTAAATACATTAAAAACAAAGAAAAAGAAAAAAGCTGTGTCCTAGCCTACAGAGGTTTGGATTTTTACTCTTATTTTGTCATCAAACAGGTTAGTTTTTTTTGGAGGGTATGGATATTTACCTGAAGATAAAGCACTGGGAACTTTTGAATTTGATGAAACGTCCTTCTGGGTAAGTGCAGGTCCATATTTGCATATGGCCTACTATGTGAGACTAGTATTTTTTATTTGCTCATCGCTCCATTCACTCACTTGCACAGGAGCTGGCTCATGTTATAGGCAGTATTGATAAAGTGATTCAGACTCTCACTTCTCTGTAGAATTCAAGCCACCCAAGAGGATGGAATGATCACGTGCACATTTTAGACACTGAAACATTTACATGGAGCCAGCCTGTAACCACTGTGAGTCACGGAATAATGAATTAACGACTAGGGGAGAAAAGGGATACAACAGAGTAGGGGAAGGTTATTCACTCTTTTCTGGAGAGACAAGAATCATGGCTTTACTTTCATGGAATCTAGAACTCAGAGAAGTTTAATGACTATAAAGACACTGTTAAGTGGTAGCTGCTGTTGCTTTTAATTAATCTAGCTCTAAGTTTCTTTAAATTTGTTTTCTCTCTGCCAGATATACAATATGCCTCTTTATTTTAAAAGATAAACAATCATTTTGTTTCATTAATTAGCCCATTTAGTAACATCTGATAAAAACTAAAATTCCTAGTTGTGAAAGTCAGCTCTAGAACTACTACTGTCTCGAAGGCTGTACTTCAGCTTTTAAGAGATCAAGGATCTGGTATATTCTTGTTAAACTTCCAGAAAAGACTAGCATTTTCCCTGTGTGTGTGAAAAGTGCACGCGCTTATTCAGCTTTTATGATTTCTGCAGGGTAAGGCACCCTCACCTCGCGCTGCTCACGCCTGTGCAACTGTTGGAGACAAAGGCTTTGTGTTTGGGGGCAGATACCGAGTGAGTAGAGCCAGCGTCGGTGACCTGCTTAGAGACCTTCAGAATGCTAACTACCTCATTTTGTTTTTAGGATGCTAGGATGAATGATCTGCACTATCTCAACCTGGATACGTGGGAATGGAATGAGTTGTAGGTATCACTTTAATTAGTTTTAGTTAACCAGGGTTTTCTCCCTATTTCTTATTAGTACATAATAAACTTGGCTTCAGTTTTCTTCATAAATTTAAGTGAAACACACTCTAGAGTCCATATAGAATTTTATTTCCTGTTTCTATGGCCATATGCCTGACCCAAAGTGCTCAATGTTTGGTGAAAAAAAGTCTAAGGTGGACTCTGTCTTCAAAGAAAACATAGCCTAAGGCACGTAGCTGTGCATCTCCAGAAGCCCTTTAAAGTCTCTCTCCCTAGTCACATCTAAATTTTCAAAGAAAACCTCAGTACTGTACTTCTCTGTAGTAAAACACAGTAGTGCTTTTAAATGGCGATACTGTGACCTCGGCTATTACTTTCAGACTCCCACAAGGCTTGTGTCCGGTTGGCCGGTCCTGGCACTCACTCACCCCCGTTTCTTCAGATCATCTTTTTCTCTTTGGAGGATTTACCACCGAAAAGCAGCCACTGAGTGAGTCCTTTAAAAATATGTATTTACATGTCATCCATACATATGAACAAGTAGCTGAAAATAAATATACTATAGATGTATCAGATGCTTCCAGGATAGATTGAAGGTTTAGGAATTTTGACCTTATAACAACTGCATCCATCCTCTATCCTGCCCAACAGTTTAAAACATGACTGTGAACACTTAGTAAAAGCCTTTTGAAAGGGCCAAAGTGTGCAGAGGGCTTCTTCTTTGGGGTAACTGCAGAGAATTAAACAAGAAATACGATCTGGCTTACTAGTTTTTCTTGCTAAAGTTATACTCTTCAATGTCAGTGAAGGAACATACTTCATAGATTTTCTTCTTTGGCTCCCTAGGTGATGCCTGGATTTATTGCATCAGTAAAAATGAGTGGATACAGTTTAATCATCCCTACACTGAAAAACCAAGGTATGAACTACTTGTACAAGGTAACTTGAGTGTCAATTCTGAGGCCCAGCTCTGTACAAGATGGTGAGGACAAGACGGAGGGTGTTAGCTACCCCACATCTGCCATTCTTAAAAGATGTATTTAGTAAGCATTAACATTGTACTTCAGGGCCGGAGAGATGGCTCAGTGGTCTAAAGCACCTACTTAGAACAACTTTAGCAAAGCACAGGGACCGCGGTTTGATCCTCCAGCACCACATGCCAGCCAGCCCTGCCCCCTGGTGGGCTGAGCTGGCCACACACACACACACACTCTAAATAAATGTTAAAAAAAACAAAAAACATTGTACTTCACAAAGAAAACCAGTTATCTGAGCACTGGACTTTCTATCTCCTGTGGAGATATTTATAATCTCTTTACCTGAGTTGAGCTGTATATATTTGTTACCGAAACCAAAAAATAAAGGAAAACTTGAAAAAATTTTACAATCTTAAGAATGTACATGAAAAAAAAAAACCTAGAATGGATCTGCTCTAGTACTATACAGCAAAGTTTAAAAAGTCAAATTATACCCCCAAAAAAGCCTATTTACGAGTTTCTTCTAAATCTCGAAAACTGCTCAAGGCAGTGACAGTCTGCATTCAACACCTGGACTCTTGTCTGCAGTTTCCCCAGGCTGCTCGCTCCAGGTCATGCCACCGAGACGTCACTCGGCACAAAAGGCCGTTCCTGGGCCCTGAGCCTGAAGCTGACCAAGGCAGGGGTTTCAGGAAGCATCCCCCAGACGTTCTGTCTGAGCCAACTGGCTCTGCCAATGAAAAGGGGGAGGAGGGGGGAAAATACTAGTCACGTTGCTAACGAAGACCCAGAGAACAGATGTAACGATAGTAACGTTGACTTCTCTAGAGGATGACTGTATTTTTCACTATATTTGGTCTCAGCTATCTTAGAATGTCTAGTCTTTGTTTTACCAGTTCTGCTCTATAGTGTAAATAAATGACGTTTGGTTTTGGGTGACTTTACACTCAAGTTTTTGTTTGAAATGTAGGTTGTGGCATACAGCGTGCGCCAGTGAGGAAGGAGAAGTGATTGTTTTTGGTGGGTGTGCTAACAACCTCCTGGTCCACCACAGAGCTGTGAGTATACCGCTGCAGGCGTTACGAGAGCAGCTGCTGAAGGCAGGATTCTCGTGAAGGTCCTGTTTGCAATGTGTTCTTTGTCTATTTTTCAGGCACACAGTAAGGAAATACTTATATTTTCAGTTCAGCCAAAATCTCTTGTACGGTAAGCAACTTCCATTTGGCAGCAAATTAACATTCTTTAAAACTATGTTTATGGGTTAAGGGCAATAATGAACATTCATCAACAAGACTGATCAGTCCCATGAAGATCTTTTGAAAGGGCTTTTTTTTCAATTAATGTGCTTATAAACAGTAAAGTGAAATTATTTTTCTCTTTCCTTGTCCACTTTTAGGCTAAGCTTAGAAGCAGTCATTTGCTTTAAAGAACTGTTAGCCAGCTCATGGGACTGCCTCCCGAAACACTTACTGCACAGTGTCACCCAGAGGTTCGGCAGCAGCAACACCTCGGGGTCGTAAGGCTTCCCAGGCAAGGCCCTGAGCGCGCGCCCGGACGCATCCCGTCATCCTCACGGATCATGATCATCTGTATACTACACTGCTGTAGTTTGCAACTATTTGTTTTTAATGTGCACGTGAACAGCCTAGAGAACCTATTTTTGTGTCTATAAAGTTTACAATAAATGTATTTCACATCAATAACTGTCCTGTATTAAAGCAAAGATTAATGGCAAATACATCCTTTTTAGTAATAAGTTCAGGCTTTATATCACTAGAAACATACTAAATAATCTCACTTATAAAAATACTTTTTAAAAACTAAAATTTTATTTTTCTTTATATAGCAAGAGTGGTCTTAATTATGACCTAGTATCACAAGTACAGTATAATAAAGGCATTTTTAAAAAATACTAACTTCAAAGGTGAACCTATTCTCCAAGGGCTAAGAATTATGAAAGGTCCAAAAGGTGGGCAGTACATGACAAGCTTACTGCTTTGACCCAGGGGTTAGGGCAAGTGGGTGACTGGAAGCAGGTGGTTTCCATCAGGTAAAAAGTAACAGTTCTGTATAGATCATGAACAGAAATAATGTACAACTTTATTCTCCATTCTGATAGAAGAAAGCTGTGTCGAGAGTCTTTAGTGCTAAGCCTACAAATGTACTTCTGGTATTATAGATTAACATACTCTGTAACATGCTATTGAGAACTACTAAAGATGGCACAGAACTCAGATTACAAGGAAAAAATGAAGAGTGAAAATATGTAAATGCATAGAAATGATTGTTGCCAGGTTTTTTTTGGTGTTATTCCTCAAGATGATTCATGGAAATTACTAATACTTATTTACATCTGCTCTAATATAGTCTTGACAATGTTTTCAAGACACAATCTTAAATGTTTAATAGCTTCCCATGAGAACAAAAAAAAATCTTTTGATTGGGCTGTTTCATATATATATATATATATTTTTTTAAGATGTTATATACAGTAGATTACTAAGTCAGTAGTTTAAGCAAATCACATTAACTATCTAATTTCTTTTTATCATGAAATGAATACTTAATATTGACCCCTCAAATTTCAACAAAATGTAGAATAAATACTGATGTATATAATTAGCATGTAGCTTTTGGATATATATTTTAGGAAATCCTATTATACACAGTTTTCCTCTATATAAAATTGGAAAAAACAAGAAGTCCTTTTGGCGAATACAGCAATACAGTGATTAGTTCATTTTAAATGCGGACGTCCTGTTAGAGGCGCCTTCGTCTTAACTCCCAAAGGCTGTGTAAGGGACTCTTCCCGTGAAGTTTAGGATTTCATGTCATCTATTTCCTTTTTACATTCAGAAGATTCGGTGCAGACACTTTCACTTTGCCAGGAATGTTTCTTGATAAATCTGTGTCCTGAAAAAGAAAACTGCTGAATATCTTCACATCCTAAATGATAAATCACATTTCTTTCATAACAGTTATCCTCTAATGTCAAAGAAAGGCATTACCAAAATTTTTCACTGAAATGCCTTATTTTACTGCTTCTAATAAGGTAGCATTTTCTGTCAAAACTACAAAAAATAACTTCTGTAATTCTTAGTTACACCACCAATTTCCACTGAGGTCTGAAGGCAAAGTTTACCTTTACACTGCGGAATAAATCCTTTTCTCTTGTTGTTGCTTCTTTGGAATGCATGAAACTATTCAAAGCTGTTTTTGCAGCTGTAAATACAAATAGGAAAAAGAGGAATTTACTGTTCAGTCACTGATCTGTTTAAAATCATAGCGAAGCACCTCCTTTGGCAAGCGCAGGGACCAGGATTCAATGCCAGTATCACATACCCCGCCAGCCCTGCCCAAGGGCACTGAGCCGGTGACCAAGTCCAGGTGTGGTGGTGCACACCTATAACCCCAGCAATGGGGACGCTGAAAACAGGAGGAGGGCTACGTAGTGAGAACCTATACCAAATACATAAATTATGTACTTATTTTTCAATGTATTTGGTTGTTGCAGAGTCTCACTACGCAGCTTGGACACACGGTGATCCTCCTGCTTTCAGCTTCCCCACTGCTGGACTACAGGTGTTCGGTGTGGCATGTGGTGCCGGGGATCAAAGCCAAGTCCCTGCACTTGCCTAAGCAGGTGCTTTAATATGATGAGCTCTCACCAGCCCCCCAAATATATTAAAAATATATATATACCTTTTCCTTTTTTCTGAACTCCAGGAGTAAGTTTCACTTTATATCTTTAAAAAGAAATTACATGAGTTACTAAATAGGGATTACAAAGCAGTTCACAGAAGTCGCTGTGACAAATGTTTTCAGTAAACTAATGGTGACTTACTTGTAGTTTGTCATGGTGGTATAAGGTGCACATATTGGAATGGCAAACAGCACTATATCTTCAGGATGCGGAGAGCCCGTCAAAGAATCGAACAGATTTTCCTACAAAGGGCAAACAGAATTATAAAGGTAACATACCAGCCTTAAATTAGGAAATCTGGGAGCTGTCAGTGTGCCTGAGTGGCAGTGCTTCCGGCAGGGCTAACAGAACAACTTGGGGCCAGGGGTGTGGCTCCACAGGGGAGCTCTTGCCGGCACCTGTTTGTAATCCCCAACACCGCAAGGAACAGCAACAAAGGCAGAAGCATCGTACGGACCACAGCGATTGTGTACACCCGCGTTTATAGTGGCAGTTTGTAATAGCTAAATCTTAGAAACAGCCCAAATGCCCCTCAGCCAACGAATGAATAAAGATGTGGTTTTAAAAAACTGCAAAACAATTTTTTTTTTCTTTTTTGTATTTTTTTTAGGGAAGGGTCTACAGGGTGTTCAGGTTCTCACTATTAGTTGGACTCAGTGATCTGCCCGTTTACAGCCTCCCAAGAGCTGGGATTACAGGTACGCACCACCACGCAGTCTCAGTTGCCATTTCAGGGTGCCCCGGGGTGGGACCAGCATGGCAGGCCCGGGGATTGAACCCCTGGCCCCTGCACCTACTTACAGGCACTTTAATCTGCTGAGCTACTTGGCTGGCCCTAAAACAATTTTTATCTCAACATATTTTTATCCTTTTCTGGCAAATATAAATACTCTAACAATGTCAAGTTGAAGAATGTTTTATTTTTTTTTTATTTTTATTTTTTATTTATTTGAGAGAGAGAGAGTGTGTGTGTGGTGTGTGTGTGTGGCCAGCTCAGCCCACCAGGGGGCGGGGCTGGCTGGCATGTGGTGCTGGGGGATTGAACCGCTGTCCCAGTACTTTGCTAAGCTTGTTCTAAGTAGGTGCTTTAGACCACTGAGCCATCTCTCCAGCCCCAAGAATGTTTATTTCTGAGACCTTTTTTTTGAGTCTGTGTCTCACTCTAGTCCAGGCTGGCCTTGAACACCTCCTGCCTGAGCCTTTCAAGGGCTGGGATAATGGAGGTGTGCTAATTTCTGCCTAACATAATATTGAGAAAACAATTTCCCAAGTGCTACAAATTTTTAAGACAGGGAAAAAAAACTTCAATATTATTACCGAAGCAGAAAATACCACGAGGATGCACTGTAATGACTAGAGTTAAGTCTGCTGTGTGGAAATGGAACTTGCACTTACCTAGACCACAGACACCTACCCAGAAGACACTGCGCAGTGGTTTTCAGTGAGGGGAAGGAGGTAAGGAAGCGGCCAGGAGCTACTGACACCTAGTGGGTAAGGCAAGGGTGCTGCTAAGTTCTATGAGAGACAGACCTGATGGTAGGGAAGTACTCCATTTCACAATGTTAATACTGCCAAAGCCAGAAGCCCAGGCTAGAGTCGTCCTCTCTCTTATCTTAACCACTTAATAGTTTGCTCCAAGCATCACTTGGGCAGTGCATTTGTTTATGAACCGACTTCCTAGCATCGCTCAGGCAGGTGTTATTTCATTCTGGTGATTCTTTTTGTCTTTTTGAAATATGGTCTCACTATGCAGCTCAGCCTAGCCTTGAGCTCACTTTATAGCCCAGGCTAGTCTCAAGCTAGCAGTGATTTTTCTGTCTCAATTTTACATTGAATAAATTTCATAAAGTTGTCATTTTCATATTTCATGTTATACTGTCTTATAAAAATTAATGAAAACTATGCAATTTTTGGTCATCCTGTATTTAAACAGACTATTAAGTGTTAAGCAGAAGCCTAAGGCTTAAGTCTTCTCATTTGGTTTACAAAATTGTTCTTATTTAACAATATAAGTGAACTCAGATTTAGGATAAAATACTTAGTATTGCATTACAGTATGTGAGGGCTGGCCAGATAGCTCAGTGGATTAAAGCACCCGCTTAGGCAGAGCGCAGTGTCTCAGGTTCGATCCCTGGTGTGCCTTACCAGCCCCACCCCTGGGGTGCGCTGAGATGGCAATTGAGACTGGGCGTGGTGGCGTGCGCCTGTACTCCCAGTGCTTGGGAGGCTGAAAACAGGAGGATCACTACAAGTCTGACCTGTGTAGTGAGACCCTGCAGACCTTGTACTAAATACATTAAAAAGAAAAAAAAAAAAAAAAAAATTGAATTAAAGTGTGTGTTTGCCATGTACCATAAGCTTTTCTAAAGATGTGTTTAATTTCCAGAACAACTTTCCTAATAAGGACAATTACTATCCCCATAATAATGAGCCATGAAGAATGTTTCCAGGCTCACACGACTGCGCCTTGAGCAGGGATTCTAGCGCAGAGCTGGACTCCAGGTGCTACTGCTGTCCACAGGCAGCAGCTCGCGTCAGCTATGCTGGGAAAGGACTGCAATGAGACTCCTGTAACATCGATACAAAATCATACCTCGCTTCCCTGTTGATCCAGATCTTGTTCCTCCTGTTGCAAATATAAAAATGTAAAAGTCAGCTATGAAATTCCACACTAACAAACAATGAGCAGACAGGCAGTGACACAAGACTGCCACATCTCACTTATGGGACAGAGCCCCCAAAGTTGTATCCTCCAGCGCCCCACCACCCTGATGTGGACTCGGTGTTTGTGTGTTGTTCACTATTTCAGAAAGTGCTGACCATCAAAGAGAAAATGGGTAGCACTCTGGAGCCGGGAGAGGAGGGATGGTTCACATGAAGCACACACAAAGCAGTAAAAGCTGCAAAGACAACATAACTGAGTTTGACTAGGCTCACCAGGGAGATTCGAATGAAAACATTTATTTTTTTATTTCTCTTCAAGTCTTAGAATAAACTTTTAAACACTAAGATACACAATTTAGTGAATGTACCTAAGAAAAGTCTATGGAGACAACCTCTGTCTATTCACGCTGCTCTAAGATAGTAACTCAGAATGGGCTATTTATCAACAACACGTATTTACTCCTCACAGTTCCGCAGCTAAGTCCCAAGGCCAGGACGTCAGCAGCCCAGGGCCTGGCGAGGTGTGCTCTGCTGCTGGCCCCATGCAGGGGCAGGGGCTTGCTCCCCCTCAGCCTCTTTTGTAAAGGTTAACCCTGTTCCTATCACTTTGGGACCCAGAAGCCAACCCAGGATTTTCTACAGGCAATACCAACATGCAGACCACAGCACCTCGCCATCAAAGAATACTAGTAACACCTCTCATGAACATTTCTGGGTCTAGAGTTCGCAGAATTACAAAATATGCTACTAGTGTAAAAGTCTGAGAGTCAAAATGAGTTCTAGAATTATTAAACAATAACTCTGTTCAACAGGGAAGACAGTGAATACAAAATGGCAATAAGCACCACATATGCTAACCACAAAATTGTAACACAAGCTTTAAATACATAAAAACAATGCTGATCATGAAAATAAAAAATTTTGCACTTTTTTTTTAAAT